CTTCCCCCCCCCCCCCCCCCCCTTCAGAAATGTGCATAACCTGAATTGGAGCTATGACAGTCTTCTCTTGCAAAGATACAAGAATTAATTTTGCATTGATGAATTTTGCTTGTGTTACATTCTGTAACTCACGCATCTGTTTTTTAAATGTACATATATTGCTGTGATTCTTTCTGGGGACACAGACATTACCTATATAAAACTGCCCACCTACAGAAATAGGTCTGACCTTTCAGATTAAATGAGAAAGCTCTTCTCTTTACGTGGCACTTCCTCTCCCCATCTACCAACTCCTGCCCACTCTGACCCTTTGCCATTAACCAGGATTTTGTCACTGTTCTACTGAATTCCTTATTTAATTCTTTGCATGAGATGTGGCGGTAGGTAGATTTCATTGAAACAGCATAGATGCAGTCCCCTTGCCTTGCTGATATTATTTGATTTATATCATAGAAGCAACCAAAAGTTTTCTAGGCATGGTGCAGTAGTAGAAGATGTTAGCTCTTTGGGGCAAATAGTGCTATTTAAGAGATAAGCATCAAAATGAGGATAAAAAGGCAAAATGTTCTAGTTTGATAATCCCTAGCAACATCTATTTAAATAATCTCATATTTGCAGTTGACTCTGTTTTAATAGCCTTCAGGATTTTGTATGATTAGACGTAATAAGCATTATTTTCCTGGTATCTATCCTCCTCTTTTGAATAAAATAGGGAAATGTGAGATGCTGTTAATGCCTCAGGCATCTAGATTCCTCTGGGTTTTAACTATTACCTACAGATACTGGTTATGACTGGGAAGTGTTCTGATGTTGAGCTATGAAATGCACTGATGCATGAAATAGTCTCTAATCTTGTGTGAGTTGCAGCACATTTATTGGGATATAATGTTGTTTCTTACTTCCATCTTCATGTTCACTTTCAAAACTACTACTGGACTTGCTTTTAGTTTGGGGTTGGTTTTTGGTTGTTTTTTTAATGATCCTACCTTACATAGTCTTGAAGAGGAATTTGTTATGTGTATATATACACACATTTTTGTCATGTGGTTTTCCATGTATTTCCTAAAAATATATATTTTTAGCCTTGCATTAAGTAAAATGTATCTTTACTTCTTCTGTTAGTCACAGCAGATTTGGAATGTCTGCAATAAACCAGGACGGATTTTTGCCTCCTGTTCCTAAAATTGCTGCTTTGAAGGCTGAAATAAATCTGAGTATTTAAATATAACCAACCTCATTTTGCAAAGTGTATAATCAATACATAAATGCAAAAGCATAAGTGCCCTTACTTTGGGGCAAGATATGAATTCTCAAATCTTAGTTTGTATCCTATATTTTAGCTTTGTGGAGCTTATTCAGCAAAACTTCTGTCTCAAGTAGTCAATTCCTTTCTCTGTACGCAATTAAAATGTTTTATTTGTTTATCTCAGTTTAGTGATACTTTTGTCTTGCTTGGTATACTTTCTTCATTCACTCTCTTTTCTTTGCCACTAATTATCCCTTGATACCTTTGTCTGCAAGCTAATTGGCCCATCTTCCTGAGCAATTAGTTTATAGTTAACATCACCCTTAAAAATAATCTTCCTCATCTCAACTGTCCTTCCTACAGTTTTGTGGATCTTTTATGAGGCATGTAATGTCCATTTATCTGTTTTCTGACCTCCAATTATCCCCTGGCTGATTTATACATGTAATAAATTTAATTCCCCTGTCACTGGACTGTGTATGACTACTAGCCTGCATGTGCAGTGCATCTACGTTTCTTCTCTCTTCATCCTTGCATTGTAATTTCTAAGTCTGATAAATATTTTAATAAAGCTAATAGCTTTCCAGACTTGAATATATTTTTAATACTCACTGCTGTTCAGCCTTGTTTTCTAATAAGCTTGGCTATTTGTGTGTATCCATGAACAGAGATATGCAAGAATGTGCTGCTGAGTCGGCTCTTTTTCCTTTCCCAGATCCCTACTGTCTGTGCTTGCTGTGTCATACCTATGGTCAGAGACTAAAAGTGGATGCTAACTAAAGCTTTCTATTTACTTGAGTTTGTTTTTTTTTTTCTTTTCAGGTTTCAATTCTAGGCTGCCCTGATCCCAAAGTTCATGAGATTGCATATCAGTATGGAAAAAATGTTGGCATAGCTTTTCAGGTAGTGCTTTTGTTGAACTACAGGGAATCTAAATTTTAAACTTTTCCAAACTGCCTTAGAAATCAAAAGTGGGTTTAATCCTTTCTATAAATCTTCTTTTAAAAAGGATTATTCTGTATTTAGTTCTTGTTTAAAAAAAAAGTTTTAAAATTATCTGTATGTTTATCTCTTTCCAGCTAATAGATGATGTGCTGGATTTTACATCATGTGCCAACCATCTGGGGAAACCAACAGCAGCAGATCTCAAGCTTGGATTAGCCACAGGCCCTGTCTTGTTTGCTTGTCGACAGGTAAGACAACAGGAATCTATTTCCCCAAAATAAAAAAGCATACACTGCTCTTCACAGCACACATGGAGCTCAAACACCTGAAGTCTACAGTGTAGTTAATGAGCATGGCCTGGGCGCATGTGAAAAATCGGCGTGTTCAAGATAGATGGATTTGGTGTGCAGACGCGTTCTTTCAGACTGAGAAACACCTTCCTACACAAGTCCTCTTACCATTAGGCCCTTGTATCAAAAGCAGCACTAGTCTTTTGCTGCCCCAGTTCAAGGGCTTAACCTTCGCAACGGGGCAGGTATTCAGTCAGTTTTTGCATGCTTTCTGCAGTTTATTCCTAAGTAGTTTCTTGCTTATGTTCTTGCCCGATACATCTTGTTCTCCTTAGGCTTGACTATGTATGTAGGTTTTTTGCCAGGTTCTGGGCTTTGTATCAGTCCTGGGGCCAGGAACTTAAATCTCTGCCTAGCTTTCAGGTGGGCACCTTTATTTACTGGATTTGACCTCTTCATCTCTTTGTCCTCGAGTCTTGACCAGTTACAAACATGGGAAGCTTTCCCGTCTAAAGGTAAAGGTAATACTAGTTTGGATAAGAGAAAAAGGAGTATCATAAATAAAAAAAGCTTATAATTGGTCAAGACTTTTAGTGGCTTAAAAATTATTTGGAGGAGTACACGGAAAACAGAAGTGCCAGCAGCAGCAAAAGAAACATTAACATTGGTGGTAATCCATAAAAGGGGAAGAAAGTGGTTTAATGCACCTTGCCCGAGCTTCTCGTTCACTTGCGGAAAGAAGATTTGAGACTTAAAAAGCAGTCCTTCCTACCAAACTTCAGAGCATGATAAAAAACTGGCACAGCTGGTTCCAGTAGAGCTCTAGCCTGTGATCTCTCATTGGAATTGCTGAGAGCTTGACATGGGAGAGGTTTTAAATCATAAAAAAAATACAACTTTAGGACATTTATTTCCACCTCTTAATCATAGAGCCTGGGATGGGGGGAGGTGGAACATACGCCTGTGTGTGTTTCCTCATCCTTTGGGCATTTACATGCACATGTATCTCAGAAAAGACAGGAAAGCAAAGAGTATCGGCCACTTAAGAATGCAGACAAATGCATGCTGAGAACAACCTCCTCCATGTTCTCAGTTCCTCCCCACGGACTCATCTGGGGGATTCACAAACTTGTTCCTGAATCCTTATTTCAAAATTTCTTGATAAGCAGCAGGATCTTGTTAGTCATCAGCAACTGGAGTTGTCTAAAGAACAGTGAGAGACTTGGGTACAGAAAGAGGATGCAACTGTGAAATGGTTTGTTTGTGTGTGAAAGCTACTTGTAGAAAGAAACAAGGACATGTTGCAAATACTCCGATTTTGGCAGAGAATGGGTGACACTGATTGTCTTGTGGGTGTTGAATATTCCAATTTTTTTAATTAAAACTATTCTTTTGTTCATTTGTTTGGGTTGGCTGTCTCTGACTTTCAAGTTCATCTATCATTTAATTAGCTTTATAAGACAAATGAGTTCATAATATGGAAATACAAGAAAAGAAAATCTGTCAGTTTTATTTTAAAATCTTACTTGTTCTTGTAGGTCACTTTTAAATGCTTTTCCTCATTATATCTTTGATAGATGGGAAGCATACATGTTTGCATTGAAAGATAGCTTGACCATCTTGCAAAGTTTTCCGCATTAACCGGAAGGCTTCTTTGCTGAAAATTTCCTACTGTTTTCAAGAAACTGGAAGAACAGCATTACAGACTTAACTGATATATAAACAAAGTATAATGGTAAAAAATTGTGGAGCTTGAACAGACAGTTATCTGTGCTGCTACTAAAAGATGTTTCATCTATGTATCTGAGAATAAGAACTCCTGAACCAGGACTTGAAGATAGTCCAAAATGTAATTGTCAGTTACAGGCTGTCTTTTCGCTTGAAATTAATATTACTGCTGTCCTGCATAACCTTTAATATATCTGGTAATCCTCATGTTGTCTTCTTGACAAACATACTTTAGTTCGTAATGTGCTCTGGATCTTCAGTGGCAGCTGCCTTTTCTTCTTGTTCTCTCCCCTCCCTCTGAAATACATCTTTGTGCATTAAAAGATTAAGGAGAGGCCTTTATACAAAAAATGCTTGATGTGAGACATATTTATACTTTATATGAAGCTAGTTCACTCAGTTAAAAAAAAATATTTTTTTAAGGAAATACACTAGTGTACACTAAGTCTAAAGCCACTCTTAAACTAGTAGAGGTGACGGTTTATTTTTATTTAAGCATTTGACAGGAATGCTTATTATACTGCCCATCAAATCTGCAGAACTGCTAATAACAGCTTTGCTGTGCAGGTTTGGGGAGTTTTATATCCTTTAGTGCTTAAATATAAAAAGTGGAAGCATATGCATCCTCTGTCATTGCAAATACGAAAACGGATTATATGAACATTGCAATTAAATTGTCATTACATGGGAAGAAAGTTAGGATCTAGAGAAAGCCAAGTATGAGTCACCAATAAACTTCTAAATGTATCTTCCAAGAAGACCACCTATGAGTAATAGGGAAATGTCACAACAATGAGGGATGCTACATACTTGTTTCCTAACAAGTATGTAGATCTACAGTTTCAGGACCAAAGGTGCGCAAGGAAAGCAGATCATTGTGTACAAATGTACAGCAATAAAATAATCTATTGACTATAACACTTTCAGATAACGTTAACAAACACCTCTTTCCTCTAAAGAGAATTCTTCTGCAGAGTGGCCACCTTGAGTCATGGTGTTTGTTTGTTAAGAACCAGGTTTTTCTATTTCTGGATTATATGAAAAAAGTGCCTGCATGACCTTCTCGGACAACTGACTTCAGTTATCTATCTATCTACTTGATTTGAGTGTGCAGTACCTACTACACATTCCACATCATTGAAAACAAAATACACTATAGTTGTCATTTTTCTCCTATAAAAATCTGTCCTGAGCTTTCCACAGGCAAGGGCCTGTGTATATGAAACACCAGAGCAATGGAAAGCGTAAGTGGATATAACAGTGAAAGGTATAACAAGGGTTTTACAGGTTGAAGTGTGTAATATAGATATAGCAAAGTTCCTGGGTTCTCTGTTGGGGGGGGGCGGGGGGAAGGTGCTGCTTCTAGGTGTGCCAATGCTAACCATCGTTTGTGATACAAGAATACCTGAACCAGATTACACACCTGGAAGTAGCCACATCAGAAGTTACCACACTGGATCATCAAGTGATGATCAATCAAGATGAAATCGCAGATGCTAACTCACTACCAACAGAGCCAGCCAGTTTCAGTTTTAAATTGCTTGGGCTTTGCTATACTGCAGTCCTATGCAGACTGCAGGTATCAACCTATAGCTATACCTGTAGTAACAACAGTGGCAGGGGAACAGGTCTATACTTTGGTTTCTTTTTGACCTTGGCACAGCAGGCAGCTATACAGAAAACAACTCCTAAGCTGTACAAAACCTTCTCCCTTTGTGCTTAGTTTCCAGAAATGAATGCTATGATAATGAGACGATTCAGTAAGCCAGGAGATGTTGAACGTGCTCGGAAATATGTGTTGCAGGTAGGACTGATACCAAATATTTAATTCCTGAAGTGCTGTCCCTGCTGAAGTCAGCCTGAAATTCATTGAAGTAAAATAGCAGGGCTGCATTTTCAAACACATGTTAAGTAGTATGTAGTCTTCAGCTGTCTTACTGGCACAGAGCATTAGCAGAAATACTAGGTACTGAAGGCTTTTTTTTCCCTCTGCGCCCC